AAATCGCTAGTATCGATGAATGGATCTTTTGATTTGGAAGTATAGTGTAGTCTCGATTACCTACTTGCCGATTTATTTTCGGTGTGCGAATTACCCTTTCGCACAACCACTTATCGTTATACTCGGGAGCGCGTGAAAAACAAAAACGCGCAAGTCTGGACCTGGAGAAAGATACTTTCTAAGATAGAAATTGGGATTTATTTAATTGTCAAAAATTCGAGGCAATAATTGAAGCTGTATACAAAAAAAAAAAAAAAAAAAAAAAAAAAAAAAAAACTGGAAATGTAAAATTCTTAGAAAATGGTGATCGGGAAAACATCTAGCAATGGCTCGATGGCGATTCGACTGAGCCGTGTTTTCAATGCATGAGTCATGCCGTACCGTTTCAAATGTCAAAACTGCGGAAGAGGCAGAGTGATACTGAAAATAAAAGCTAATATGATACTAACATTTACATTAGTGACGAGACAGCAATGACTTTTTTTTTTAACTCTATTGAACTTCGTCGACTAAAGAAGATTCAAATACAATAATAAAATAACACTTGAAAAAAAAAAAAAAAAAAAAAAAAAACGCAGTGAAATTCGACACGTATGTAAACGTTCTCAAATACAAAGTAAATTTACTGATTTTTTTTAAGACATAAACACCAACAAAATGCATGAAAACTAATAATTTGGATTACTCGTATTTCTCAGTTATCCGTGAGCTGCGTCCTCTGTGCAGCCCGGATAATGGAAAATACCTTACACTACTCGAAACTACTCGAAAAAACTACTCGAAACACTACTCGAAAAAAGAAAAAAAAAAAGAACAGTTCTATATCTCCCATTCTACCGGGCCGTTTCACGAAATTCAAATTGCGTTCTTCATGTCTCGAAAGCGCGACTTAGGATATATATTATATTTATATATAACACTATTCCAACATAGGTATTATGACACAAATAGGACTTTTTCTGAAATAACATACCATTTTTTTTACATATTTCGATTCTACGACTCAAATTATGCCTAGATACTAAATTTTGTAAAATTTGGTGCGAAATTTACGGAGAAATTCAACAATTTATGTTGGCGCTTTTTTTCAGTTTGCGCCAAGAATAGTTCACTTGGCAAACTTCTTAATATATGACAATCTATTTTCCTTTCGTGCGTGAGGGGGGGGAAAAAGTCACGATCGTTCCTTTTTTCAGATAATGGTCTTTATATTATATTTTTAATTATAATTGTTATCATTTTAAGTATTTTTCTTTTTGGATTTCAGTTTAATTGTTTTAAATTTTGAATAAAAAAGTCTAATTTTTTGCAGGTATGCTTAGAAATACACCTACTTTAAGATGATGGTAAAAATTTTACAGGTTATAAATCAAAAATTTTTTCGAAAAATTATTTAAAAATACAAATTTAAGAAATAAAACACAAAAAATCAGTAAATGTTATTTGGAATGAACCTAAATTTCGAGGCCCACCAGCGGCCGAGCGGTAAAGTCGCTGAACACTGGTAGTTCGGTCCGAGGTTCGAATCCCGCGAACGGGCTGGCTGCATGGGTGTTTTCGTGGTTTTCCCCATGTGTAACGTGTATACGAGCCAGTTTCCCTTAGAAAGTCCTCCACGAAGGCATCCCTCCCCTTAGGAAGATAGCCCTGGTGAGCTTTGCCATGATTAAATACACCACCACACCACACCACCTAAATTTCGAAATGTGAAAGGAAGAATCAAAAAGTTTAATAAAAAAAAGAGATATTAATAAATATTTGCCAAATTCAATTAACAATGAGAGCTAAAATTTTGAGAGCTAATATTTTAAAAACTACTCGTACGATTTTTACAAAACTTGGCATTCTGACATAATTTGAGTCGTGGAATCGAAATATTGAAAAAAAAAATGGTATGTTATTTCAGAAAAAGTCCGATTTTTGTGTCACAATACCTATGTTAGAATAGTGCTATATATAAATGTAATATATATCCAAAGTCGCGCTTTCGAGACATGAAGAACGCAATTTGAATTTTGTCAATCGGCCCAGTAGAACGGGAGATATAGAACTGTCCTTTTTTTTTTTGAACAGTGTACCTTAGCGATTAGACTAGAAGTGCGCTCCAGATCCTTCAGCATCTCTCCTGATAGCGTATAAAGGTAGCTATAAAGTCTTCCTACCATTTGCAACAAATGCTTGCTGGATGATGTAGTGCGAGAGAAGCCATTGCATCACTCGCACAGTTTGAAAGTTATGATTTTCATCCCTTAATGATCTGGACAGAATGCGTGGACTTGACGAATTGAAGGACGTATAAATGAGCCCTGGCTCTTTAAAATGTGTAAGGTGGGAAGATAGCTTGATAAAATATCATGTCAGGTCTTCGGAACCATTTTAATCTCAGATGTTCCTGACCACTTTAAGGTTTTGCGCCTGTACATTATTGGAAGCAAACAGAGTAGTTGAGAGTACCTTCCTCTCCACATTGGGATTGATCTCATGTGTTATTCCCGAATCGCTTGTAATAGCTGAGAAAGAGCCCACGACCCGTTAAGAACTGCCTAGGCGATGGGCTGTTGCTGTACAGCTTCATTTCGACTTTTGTTAAAGAAAGTAGTAAAGTAAAACATTCTAAATTATGAGCTAATGTATGCCAAGTAGCAAAACTTCTGATGACCGGATAAACCCAGTCATAATGCTCGGAGGGAGCTGAAAGACACGTCTGCCCATGGTTTGAGATGATCCTACTATTGCCTTTGACTCATAAGGGCACGTTTGTAATATGCTTGAAATAAGACAGTAGGAGTATTGTTTGATTTTAGGGAACAATGCTTCCAAAATCAAATGCTTCGAATTGGGCAGCATGGGGAGAAAAACAGGAAATCTAATTCCTTTATTCTCACAATAATTTTTTCCACATTTTAAATTACCATGTTATGATAAGCGATTCCACCCCTCGAACTGCAGCTTTACTTTCATCCCAGAAAATAGACTAATGTGTCAAAAATGCGCATAAATGTATATCATCCCATATGGCTTACTTTTAAGATATGAACCACATACTCTTATTCAAAATTTTGAAAGCATTTTCTTTGTGAATATCTAACTTACATCATAATTAGTTATTCTTGTCTAAATAATCTAACGTTGTATAAAATATTTATATGTGTGTGAACCGTCTACACTTTTGATTTTCTTGTAATATTCTAACATAACTTGTACAAAGTATAGAATTTATCCCCCTCGTCAGCAACTATCCTTCTACAGTTAACGCCAGGGCTAAGGCCTGCTCCTGCAGCGTTCTATTCTGGGTCATTGAAAAAGAATGCCGCGATTTCAATTTTATCATATAATGAAATCTTACACAAATAATTCTTGTTTTGAAACAAGAAATATTTGTAGAAGAAAAGAGAAAAAAATGAAGAATATATAGAAACAAGAATATAAGTTTTACCTCACTAGATGGCTATCTGTTCGAGTAACCTAAAATTAGAAGTTCCGCAACTCATGCATTGGATTGGTGGATGCATTGGACTCCTCATTAGACATGTTGGCCCGATCCCATCTCTACGGAGTTAGGATCTTGCACCTCTAGATTTATTCTGGGAAAATTTTAGGTACATTGTTTACAATGAAAACATTATCAATACCAGCTACTCAAATCATCAAATAAAAAGCTGTCAAATAAAATCCACAACTCCAGAGATGCTTCAGAAGAAATGGAGTGATATTATTTCGACGTCTGTCGAGCTCATAAATATATGCATATAAGACTTTAGATATTTCTGAATATGATATAAACTGTTAAGTGCATATATATTTACTTTTTAGATAGTGAAATTTTGTAATGTAATCGCGGCATTCTTTTTCGATGATTGTTTATGTTATAATCACACAGTAGATTACCTGCCGAGTTTTTGCTGCATGTTAATTCAACTAATTTCCTATCCTACAAACTTGAACCTCTACGAATATGCAAATGTATTGAGTGAATTTTCTGATTGTCAAACATATCATTGCTAAAAATTTCAGTCATTCATTAAAGGATCATTTATTCATAAGTGTCTCAATCATAGTTTAATTTGCAATTTCAACCCCTTGAAACAAGTCTATTTGTTTCACCAAGGAGAAAGAAGGGCAAAATTTGCGTTCTTATACGAGACTTGAAACTCTGAATAGAATATTTAATTTCAGAATAAGAAATGCTGGTAACCCGCATGCTATAATATCTTAAGTATTGCCCATTCAAATGATACAATCTCTGAATTAATTTTTTAGTTACAAATTGTCGGTTCTGCGAATTTCATGCATTTGTATTTTTTATTCATTTCTTTTTTTATTATTTTTAATTTATATTTATAACTAAAATGTGATTCTTATTGAGGTCTCAAAACATGAGGAAATTATTCTTTATAACAGTTAAGTATAAAATCAAACGCATTAATGCTTATCCGTTATGAAGAACAAAATGAAAAACGTAATATTAATAAAAAAGTAAACCTTTGCATAAGTTTAAAATCAAAAGCAGGGAAATTTTTTTGACGGCTTTTATAAGGAAACAAACCTACCATCCTTAAATAATTCAAATTCTTAATTAATAGCATTGTAGCAACCATAACACAATTTTTTATGTAAAAATTGCAATACTAGGCACGATATTAAAAGAAATACGATATATTTGTGATCTGTATTCTTCAGGATAACTACATAAACGTTACTGAATGAAAATCATAACTCGAGTTTTCACAAAACCCCCATGCTAAACATATAGAAGCAATTTTTTAAAACAATATCTTTGTAATTAATTTATTGGGCGTAGTAGTAATGACGTCATATTTATGTGCAAGCAAATATTTCTTGAAATTAAATGCCAGCTTGAATTTGTGACTAAAAATTTCACATCGGAACGCGATAGCTTTGTATCAGTTTTCATGTTATGCTGAAATTAAACTTTACATTTTTTAAGTTAAGTTTCATGTATTATATTTAATGATTAACTGAAGTTTATAATATTACAGGTTATTTATTTATCGAGAAGAGCCTAACGAATATAACCAAAGATTCCGGAGAGACAGTTCGCATGCGATGCGAAGTGAAAGGACGCCCGTTACCTAAAATTAAGTGGTATAAGAATGAAGCCCCTCTGGAACCAGAGAGAGGCAAAGTAGACGTTCGTAAATACAATGCTGGATATGGGAAGATTGGATCCAGGCTAAAAATTGTCCATGCAGATATCCATGACACAGGGTATTACAAATGCGAAGCCTCAAACGATAAACACAGTGTAGAGACTACAGGAATTCTTATGGTTAAAGCAGGTAAGGTATCTACTGATGTATCTATTTCCTTTTCTCTTTTTAAGCTTATTGAAATTTAATCAAAGTTTTCCGTTGTATTATATTTGTTTGTCTTATGTGGAAAATGAAACATGTGACATCAAATGAACAAAATTTTAAACTTTCATCAAGACGAGTTGGGTTCTTATACTTTACTTTTATGAGTAAAGCGATAGTAATAAAAAAAAGCATCCTGATTGGTATAATGATTAGCAACGCTAGCTGTCGTATTTTTGGGCTCTGTTGTAATCAAATGGAGTTTTGGCAAATTCTTTAAGTATTCTGAATGAATATAAATCGTGTTTTTTGTTCACCTCTACTACAGAATAAACTACTGTTAGGAAATATTAGATGATGTATATAAATTGATCGAGAGGGGCCGTGGTCATTGCTAGGGCTAATGAAACTACTGTGTAGATCTGATTAGATAGTTCTTGTATTACGAATTTTATGTTTAAATTCTAACTGTTATAGGCCTACCGCTGTAGATTTTCTTGAAAAAATAAATGTTTGATTTATGAAGGAGCCTTATTAATTCTCTGACCTGACATTTGACAAAGTCATAAAGCACAAATGACCCCAATAACTCAAAATGCACCGCTTTTGCGGACGATGTAGCTTTTGTTGTGAGTGGTAGCTCCGGAGATGAGTTACAAAGAAATGTAAACAGCACGTTAGAAATTATTAACTCTCTTTGCAAACAACAAAAACTAATATTTCTCAAGAAAAATCACGTGCCTTAATTATCCACAACCCTCACAAAAGATAACAAGACTTCCAAGATTCGAAATAGAAGGAATTAAAATAAAAATTCATTCATAAAAAAACTTAACTTTATAGACCATCTGGACTACATTAAAAGCAAGACCTCCAAAATAGCAACAACTCTAAAGCGAATGAACGGAATAGGATGGGGAATGAGCAGACCAATCCAAAACCTCATCTACCATACAGTAATCGAGAAGATTGCCCTATACGGTGCAGCCATATGTACAGAAGCAATGACAAAAATAAAGCAAAAAAAGCTTCATACAATCCAGTGACCCTTCCTTCTTAACAACACAGGAATCTACAGAACAACATCAAATGCGGCACTCTTCCAAATCGCTAACAGCACACCACTTTTTATACGCTCTGAACAAGAATTCCATAACACAGCAGTACTACAACTACGAAAGAAGAGCCATTACAAATCATTAGATCTTTTAGCAGAGAATTACGAGACACCGGCACACCCATATGAGCACCACCCAGAAAAGAAAAAAAAATATCGCATTAAGCATGCAAAAGAAGTAATCGGAAAAGAAATTCCCCCAACTCTTTCCGGCCTAGAAGAACTTAAAAGCAGCGCAATCAAAATCTACGTAGGTCCCAATTCGACAACAGAACAGAAGTTCTACCTAGATCAACAAAATAGTATATTCCAAGGGGAATCAGTAGCTCTCCTTCAAGCAATAAAAAATAGCATCACAAACTCCCTAAAAGCAGCACATATCTTTACAGAGAATCTTTCAGTGATGCATGCCATCGCAAACCCGCATCATCGAACAAAATTAATCCAGGAGATTACAGAAAGAACATCAGCATCACAAAATCAACACTTTTTCGTCATTTGGCTGAAGGCACACACAGGACAAAAGGCAACGAGGAGGCTGACATCCTAGCCAAAGAAGCAGCTAGGGGTCAAAATGCGCAAAATTTATCAGTACCGTGACCTGGCTCGCACCTTAAAAAATCATAAACAACAAATCTGAAACTGAATGGCAGAATTGGTGGGGCAACGCCGAAAAAGGAAGAAGGACTTATCATTTGTTCCCAAAAGTAGGCAGGGCACTCAGTTTAATAACAAGACAAATAAAGTGGTTCTTATCAGGGCATGGCCCTTTTCTCACGTACTTTTATGCAAGGAAATTAGCAACTTCAGATCAGTGCGCATGTGGAGAAAGAGGCAGTCCCGAACTTTATCTAGTCAAATACCTCCCTCACAGCTGAATATCATCTAAAAGTCTCGAATACAGAGAGTGAAGTGACTCCTTTATTAGATACGCTACCAAGAACAACCATCTCCGAAAAAAATCATAATTATAATGAACTTTCTGTCCACAAGAGACACTGAGCAATTTAACACAGCCTAGAATAATATAAAGAAGCTATTACTTAAAACATTGTATGTAAGCAGACCTGGAGCTGTCTTCTATAGCATGTAAGTGCGAAAGGCGCACCAACTGTAAAAACATCAATGTATATTTAAGGGAAAAAGAAAGGCACTCCCCGCGAACTAGTAAAATGCAAAGCATTGCAAGCAATGCCTGCAGCAGGGTCTCCTGTAAGTCCTGTAGAGTATAATTATCTGGATATCTAGTATGGCTGGACAATACCCACATTGCCAATGGTTAAACAATGGGTGTCCACCACACTTCTCCATATCCATATCCATATTAATTCGCTGGTGTTAAAGTGTCTCAGGAAGTAACTTTTTCTAATTAAGTATATGATCGGGTTAATGCAGATTATTTATCCTAAGTCATTAATTACTTTAACTGCGGAATTAGAGACACTGATGTTAAATTAAAATCCATTTTATTACAAAATTTTCGAATCCTAGAGAATACATGGATAGTGTAAGTGCGGCATGAGTTCATTTAAGTTACTGGCGAGGCAAGCGTCCTCTGAAGAGGTCTTGTGATAAGACATGAGGAGTGATAAACCTTTCTGTATGCTGTTATCTATCAAAACTGGGACGAAACCATCCCTTTTTTGCGGGTGTAAAATTGATCTTCCCCTTTGTTGCACGTGGGATCGGTGATGAAACTGTTGAATGACTGATGGTTTCGGACTTTTCCAACAAATGATTAACTAACAAAGTATCCAGTATTGGTAAAAAACAATGCAAAGTTATAGTTACATATATTGAAATGACTGGACAAAATTATTATTCTTGTGAGAAAACAACTAAAGTTTCAGTAAATAAAGGAAAAGAATTCTGGAAAATTCTTCCGTTAATTCTTTTATCTTCATTTTCAAATTTATTTACATGATATAAAAAAGTAAGTGATATATAACTGAGAGCATATAATCTGCTTATTATTTAGAATGTAATAAAATAACATTTCAGATGGAAATTCTATATGCAAGACTATGTCTGCCTTTTACAAACTGCTTTATTTTCACATGAAAAGAAATTTCTATACTTTTTCAGAAATGATAAGTGTTGTTTCGCTGGCCTTAAAAACCTAACAAAAAAGTTTTACTAACGCATATCAGTTAAAACCATTAACATTATAACGTATCTGTTAAGCCTGAGTTAAGAAACGATTTTAAATATAAAAACAATTACAGTCTGATTTTTTGCTGGAAAATTAAAAATTGGATTTATTTTCTCTAAAACCAATATAAAGTATATAATTCTTTTTATATACTCGCAGATGAAAAGTTAAAAATGTCCACACATGCAAACAAATGTAAAATTCAAAACATAATCGGATGTTTTGCAATTAATTTGCACTAAATGTATACACACATTAGTGCAATATGTAAAGTGGAAATGGTGTATTCAAAACTTTATAACCGAATATTTGATCAACTCTAAAGATGGGAATTAATTACCAAAGTTTCGGAAAAAAATTGTTATCAAACACTTATTTTTACTGATTAAATCTAAAGTTTCCATACAGGGTCCTACATTACAGCATGCAGCATAGAGTGAAATTTTTGTATGCCTCGTACAGTATGGAAAATGTTACCATCAAGAAAAATTTATGCCATATTGTTTAAACTTTTTCTTTCTTTCTTAAAAAATAGTTTCAGGGAAACTTTTGCCGCCTTTAGAAACGCCGCCGTGTGTGAAATTACACGAAATTATTTAGTTTTATTAAGCTGTTTGCTCTGAAGACTTTTAGCAAAAATGCTTTGCTCGGCATTCAGTTTTAGAGGAAACAATGTCTGCACTAACACTTCTGGTGGCTTAAAATTTGCTTAATGATGAGACTAAATTGCGCGTAAGCAGTAGTTACTTTTCCCTTCACAGAAAAATATTTCTTCCCTTATCTTTTCCTCTAAAATAACGAACCGGTTTCTGGCAAAACTGCGGTGAAAATTTTATTTGCATAACATTCGCTAGAGTGCACATTTTACGTTAAAGAAAAGAATAAAAAAAGTGCTTCTTGTAAAGAAGCAAAAAGCGCGAGTTTTAGGCCGAGCAGACATCATTCTTTCCCTACGTAGCTTGAGGCTCGTACGGCTTATTAGATACGTTTGCATCTGCTTTGGGCCGCGTATATTATGCAAACACTGGATGGGGTACAGCTTGATACGATGGTTCAAAATTCCAGCAGTCGTCCTATAATGGGGCACCTAAGACAGTTGATCGTGAGTTTAAATAGCCGAATATGCTCCATCTATGCCCATAAATTTCGTTCTATGCATATATATTGTTACTGCTATGTCTTACCCCCTGGAAAAAAGAGACTGTTTCGAAAAAGCGAGCCCAATTTTCTCTCCTCCTCGTTCTAATTCCACATCGATGCATTTTATTATATCCCCTTTTGTACTGAAGCTCTGCCAAATACGATGATGTAAACTCTTGTTTGCATTGTTTATTATTACTATTATTATTTTATTCTGTTGTAGAAAACTGCTTTCTTTTAAGCTTTTTATTTTAGAAAAGTCATATTATTCGGGCTAGAGTAGTTATTTGTTTGTTTATACCTTCGCATGACAGAAAACGAAAAGATAATGGTGGTCCTGTTTTCTCTTTTGTGTTTGAATGAAAAGCAGTTTTGTTTGTCATTAGAATATGACATTTATTTCAAAACAACTCTTCCTATTTTCATAAAAGATGGATGTAAATTGTCGTAGATTTTTAACATTTTCTCCAATAACGTTTCCTAGACGCCATTAATTTAACATTGGAAATGTTTCCTTGGGATATTTAATTTTTTTAATTATTAAATCTTATTATATTACGCTACCATTTATTTATC